AGCTGCCCTCACTTGCCCAGCCTGTGTGGCTCAGTGGTGGAGTGTCCATCTTTGAACCAGGAAGTCAGGATCGAGTCCCAATTCCAGGGCATGTGCTCAGTGTTGCGGGCTCAATCCCCACCGTAGGTTGTGCAGGAGGCAGCCGATCCATGATTCTCGTCATGGATGTTTCCATATCTCTCTGTGTCTCCCTTCCTGCCTGAAATCAATTAAAAAAAAAAAGTTTTAAAATCAGTTCCCCACTTTGTGTACCCATGTCTGTATTTGTTTACCTTTTTTTCTTTCTGAAAAAGCAAAACAAGCAAATAGCAGACATGTTTAAGATCCTGGAACATACTCAGAAAAATGACTCTCCCACCTAACCTGTCCTCGGTCCCAGTTCCTCTTCTCGGGATAATCCCACTGGCCGTGTTCCCTCCTTGCACATTCTGCAAAAGGGGCATTCTACATCGATGAGAGAGAAACATCGACCAGCTGCCATCGACGCAGTTAGCCCTGGACGGTTTGGCTCAGTGGTTACAGCATCAGCCCTCAGACTGAAGGGCCACCTCCAGCTTAAGGGCATGTACCTTAGTTGCAGACTCAATCTCCGGCCCCCTGTGGGAGAGGCAACCAATGGATGTGTCTCACACCGATGTTTCTCTCTCCCCTCCCCTCCACTCTCTTTAAAAAAAAAAAAAATCCCAGGTGAGGATTAATAGTAACATAAGACATCCTCTGAAAATAAGACCAACTTACAGGTTTCCTTCTGAGTGAAATATAAGGCATACCCCAAAAATAAGCCCCCCTTAGGCTAAACATGAGAGATTTTGTCCACTGATTCTGAAAGAAATGGAGTCACAAGAAATTCACCAGGAAATCCAGGAATTGGATTGTTAGGATGATGTTCCAGAAGATGATGACATGATTGTCATCGAATAAATGAGTACATTCTTGATACAGTAGGATTCACAGTTTGTCTGGTTTGTGTTGACAACGACCGTACTATCGTACTGTACACAGGTAATAAATGTCCTTTCTTTTCATTTAACCATAAATGTGTACCGTATTCTTCTTCATGGAAAAATAAGACACCCCCTGAAAATAAGACCTAGCGCATCTTTGGGAGCAAAAATTAATTTAAGACACTGTCTTATTTTTGGGGAAACAGGGTATATGCATGGCCTATTTTCTTTAGAATGCCTTTTATCTGCCCACCTCAAACATTCACCCATGATCCTCCCTTCCCACTTTCCCAGGGCCAGCTACTTTGCTAAGAAGGACCCCGAATGTTCCAGGCATCCTTTCTCTCCACACCAGCTCCTCCTCCTGTCTTTTGAAGTCGAGGCAGAATAAGAGTCGCCTTCCATGTTCCATTTCCTCCGTTCTCTCCCCTCCGTGCTCTTTATCACAGAATGTATTCTCGCTCTATTTAAAACCTGCTGGGACCCAGCGCCTGTCAGAGTTGTGGAACGGAATGAATAAAAAGCTCTTGAGCTTCATTCATTCGGGCCAAACCTCTATACATAGATTTGGCCCTCGGGTCTGTGCCAAAAGGAGCAGGGAAGAGACAGGCTGATGTCGGAACCTCTAACTTCCCTGGTATTGATTTTGACTTGGTGAAGGGCAAGAGGAGGGCAGGGGGGAAGGGACGGGGGCACTCCCTAGGCGAGTGAGCATGGGTGGGTGCTCATAAATTGTTAATACCGCTTTTGAATTTAAAAAGAGAGAAAGACGAGCAAAAGCCACCAGAAAGGCGTCAGCAGGCAGAGAGGGGGCAGCGATTTAAAGAAATGCTGAATTATTTAGAAGTGTTTAACCACCGTCTCCATGCAAGGATGACATTTCTGATCGGGAGAAGGCAGAAATGGGGGGGGGGGGGGGGGCGCAATGTGGCTGTGACCCCAGACAACACCAGATGGCTGTGCAAGAGCACCAGGTCCTTGGGAATCTGTCCCTCCTTTTCCATCTTGACCTGTGAACGCCCCGGTCACTATACGTGCTCCCCCCCCACCCCCCGGAGGAAGAGAGGCTGCAGGTCCCAGTGTCCCCCTCCTGCTCCACGGAGGTGAGAATTGAGATACCCAGGAGGCTGTTTGTCCGGGCAGCTTGACTGGGAATCGAACCCGAGACCCTTCAAAGGTAATAAATTTCCTTTATTTTCATTTAACAATAAATGTGTACCGTATTCTTCTTCATGGAAAAATAAGACATCCCCTGAAAATAAGACCTAGCGCATCTTTGGGAGCAAAAACTAATAGAAGACACTGTCTTATTTTCGGGGAAACTGGGTAGGGCTGTTCCTAGATTGTCCGTGGAAGCCCCTACGTCGGATCATTTGCACGCTAAACACACCCCACGGCCTCCTTCAGCTCTGAGTGCTCATCTGTGTATTGCAAGGAGAACGGATGCCTGATTCCAACTTAATCAAGGACGTAATGAGCAGCATTAATATTCATTGTCTCCTCCACGGGAGCACAGGCTCATCAAGGTAAATAGCTGCTGGCCTGCCGCCCGGACAGCCCCATGGCTGAGCTGAGAAGTGCCGGTCCTCGTCAAGACAGCGGGCTGTTTGTTCCCCACGATGGGGAGCCCCCCGCTGGCACATCCCAGAGGCTTCGTTTTAAAATGAGATGCTTCCAGCCGAAACCGGTTTGGCTCAGTGGATAGAGCATCGGCCTGCAGACTGAAAGGTCCCGGGTTCGATTCCAGTCAAGGGCATGTACCTTGGTTGCGGGCACATCCCCAGTAGGGGGTGTGCAAGAGGCAGCTGATCAATGTTTCTCTCTCATCGACGTTTCTATCTCTCTATATCTCTCCCTTCCTCTCTGTGAAAAATCAATAAAATATATAAAAAAATAAAAAAATAAAATAAAATGAGATGCTTCGATTGCTTGTGCTTAGATGCATGCACCCAAGTCCTTCGGATGATCTCTTATCTCCCCCACCTCTCCCTACTGTATGCTTGTCGCTTTACTGTTTCTATCTCTATCTTTTGGTTCATCAGTTCATAATGTTATTTATTATCATGTATAGAAGTACAACCAATGGACACAAAACTCTGGGGAGGGAGGTCAGCACTAATTATACAAACCAGCCGTCCCAATACCCGGGCCCTTCCTGCTAAATCCCGGGATTTTATTTATATCCCAGCTATAGATTCTCTCTGTACGCTTGGCCCATACGATTCAGGCTGCTGTGCTCAAACCACATCCCTCAAGACCGCAAGCGTCAATAACGATTGCGCTTTAGAGCGGATGCTGTCTTTTCATTTTGCAAATCCAGAGATTCCCGCCGCCCCCCCCCCCATCCCGTCCAAACCCAAGGCAGTAAGGACGGAAGGTCACAATCCGGTCTGTCATGCAGGAGCAAATCTCTGCCCCTGCGATGATGCAATGATCATCTGGACATGCGCTGCGTGTTCAGGCTGCCTTCACGCCCTGGCGGGGTTTCTTCCCATTTGCACATGGTCTTGGGGTGGTTCTTTGCTGTCCCCCGCCCCCTTCTTCCCCCAGGGTCTTTCCCGGAAGCATCTGGGGACTTAGTGCTGCTGAAATAACGGTTCTGTGATCTCGCAGGTGGGTGTGTGCACGCGTTGCATGCTAAAACATCCTTTGGAAAAGCCCGTACGAATCCCCTCGCCATCAGTACGTGTGCATGTTGCAAAGGTGCAGAGCAAGGGCTGGGGGAGCACCCTGACCCGGGGTTCCCTGACCCGGGGTTCCCTCTAGGGCCGCTGCCATGAGAAGGGGGAGGGCGTGGTGTGGTCCCCTTTTTACTCCAGATAAGACGGAGTTGTGTGGTTATGCGAAACCGTAAGAAAGAACGCATGGTGTGTTCCCCATTTCATACGTGTTCTATACATTTTTTTTTTAAATCGGAATCTTAAAAATAAACATAAAAAAGCATCTCAGTCAGAACAAAGGTGTGTCTTCGCGGAGCAGCTGCGCTTCTTAGGGCTGAGACCTCACAGTCACCCCCCACCACCACCACCACCACCACCACCAGCATCGTGGAATTGTGGGGGGAAACGTGCTTTCCACGGCACCCCAGAGGGAGGTTTGGAAAGTTAGGGACATCTCCGGGATGGCTGCACTGGCCCACGCACCCCCAACCTGTGCGCACCCCCACCTCCCCATGCAGCCACACACCCACCCAACCCCTGCTGATGCAGGAGGGTGAGGCTGCAGCCGGGCAGGGCAATCCGCACCCGCACCCCTCCACCTCCTCTTCCTCCTCCTCCTCCCCACCTCTCTCCTCCTCCTCCTCCTCCTCCCGTCCTTTTTCTTCCTCCTCCCTCTCCTCCCCCTCCTCTTCCTCCTCCTCCTCCTCCTTCTGTCTTCCTCCTTTTTCTTCCTCCTCCTCCTCTTCCCCATCCTCCCTTTCCTCTTCCCCCTCTCCTCCTACTCCTCCCCTTTCCCCTCTCCCCCCCTCCTCCTCCTCCCCTTTCCCCTCTCCTCCTCCTCCTCTTCTCCTTCCCCCTCCTCCTCCTCCTCTTCCTCCTCCCGTCCTTTTTCTTCCTCCCCATCCCCCTCCCCCTCCTCCTCCTGCTCCTGCTCCTCCTCCTCCTCTCCCTCCTCCTCCTCCTCCTCCCCTTTCCCCTCCTCCTCTTCCCCTTTCCCCTCCCCTCCTCCCCCTCCCCCTCCCCCTCTTCCTCCTCCTCTCCTCCTCCTCCTCCTCCTCCTCCTCCTCGCCCCCCGCCCTTGCCGGGGCCGCCCCCTCCCCGGAGCGCTGACACTGGAGGCGCTGCGGGGCGGGCGGAGGGCGGGGCGGCCGGGAGCCATCCATCCATCCATCCGCCTCGCAGGCAGTCCTCTCCCTCCCTCCGGAGCGCGGGCTGCGCCGCCCGAGCCGCGGGGCGAGGACGCACTGGCCGCGGCTCCCGGCGGCTCCTGCAGGCGCCGCGGGCATGCAGCCCGGGAGCCGGAGCGGGCGGCGCACCCCGGGCCGCCGCTGCTGAGCCACCCAGCGCCCCCGCCCGCCCTCCGCACCCCGGGGCGCCCCGGCCCCCCTCTCCGCCCATGCGGCCGCCAAGGTAAGCGCGGGGCCGGCGCGCGGGGGACCTGGCTCCCCCAGGCGCCCTGATGGGGGTTCCTTCCCGCCCCACCTCTCCTCCTGCCCCGATTGGGAGCCTCGCTGCGCCTCGATGGCTCTGGCTCTTTGGCAGCAAAGTTTTTGCGGTTTGGTGTCCGCTCTTTTTTATTTTTTTCTTTCTTTTCCTAAAAGGCTCTCTGGCGCGCGCGGTTGGAGAGCCGGGTGGACGTGGCCACTGTGTGCGGGGCCGGAGCTCCCCGTGTCCCGCTGCACGGGCTCCTCCTCCGCCCGGGAGCCTGGGACGGAGCCGGCCACCCCGGGCTGTCCCAGCTCGGCCCCGGGCTCCCTCCTCCTCTTCCTCCTCCTGCCCGAGCCGGGCTCCCTAAGCCGGCTGCAGAGCCGGGAGGGAGCGCCTGTGCCCCCGGGGGCATCGGGGCAGGACAGGGTCTGGGTCTGGGGTCCCCGCTGCCCATTGCAGGGAGCGCAGGTGCATCGGGACATGTGCGCTAAGGATTGGGATGCCCAAGGGTCCCTGCACCCCCGAGTGGTGGTTGGGACCTTCGGGTCGGGCCATGCAGGGCGGTGACTCTGCACCCAGCTCCTGTCCTGGAGGGCAGGGGGGGGCAGGTGTTTGTAGGGGGAGGGTCGAGATGGGGCTGCATCCTGTTCATGCATATTCATTGCATTTGCTCGGAGGTGGAATCCGTTCCCCCAGATGGTGATTTTTTATTTTTTTTAATGGGGGCCTTGGAGCTGCTAGCTAGTATGTATGCCCTGTGGTGTCCAAAGGCGTTGGGTTGTGTGTATGTTATAAGGAGGGTGTCCTGCGGCCGAATTAGGGGAAATCGCGCCATCTAGAGGAAAACGGTGAGCTCCCAGCTCCCTGAGGCTGCAAGGTTGCGTGTTCTGGACCAGAGGTATCTTCTGTGGCAGGCCAGGAGGCCCGAACCGGCCTCCCAGGGAGAGCAATCAACCCCCTGTGTGTCTGCACCTCCGAGCTCAAGAGACCGAATCGCAGGTCATGCCGAGTGGCTTGGTCACCCCGAGGAGGCCCATCCCCTGCCCATCGGGCTTTGGGGTCCTCCCGCAGAAACAGAACGTGGCACCTGCCGGTAAGAGGGCGCCCGCTCTGCAGGCACCTACTACGGCAGAGAGCTGGGGAAATCCACACACGGACCTTGCTCTTCTCCTGAGTGGGTTTTCCTGGGAATCCCCGGAAAGGGGGGTCGGCTGTGTCGGGAGGGCAGCTGGAGGAGACCTTGGAGGGGTCTCTCGCCGGTCTGTGCAGGGACTGTGCGGGGTAGCAACAACGCCGTCTGTCCGACTACAGAGAAGAGGCTTCCTGCCATTCCACGGTCACGGCAGGCGACAGGCAAGGCCCCTCATAAGGGACGTAGACTCCAGTGACAATGGGGCAGACTTCGCTGGGTATGGAGCAGAGCGGAGGCAGGCCCTGGGCGGAACACCCCACATCCAGGGAGCTCCGTGTTGCCGGGATTAGCAATGAGCTGGGCGCCCCCTGCTCTGACCGGGACGATAGTGGCCCCCAAATTTATTTATCCAGCCGCTAGGGGTGAGACTCTCTGTGCAGAAATGCTGGTAAGAGAGGCCTCCTGTCTCCTTTTCTCACCAGCCCCGCTGCCATCCTTCCCTCCCTCCCAGATGGCGGACAGGGGACTCCTCTCTGAATAGACACGTAGAAAGGTGGATGGCTTGCCTTCCCGTGGATAGAGCGTGAGCCGGCAGACTGAAGGGTCCCGGGTTCGATTCCGGTCAAGGGCATGTACCTTGGTTGCGGGCACATCCCCAGTAGGAGGTGTGCAGGAGGCAGCTGATGGATGTTTCTCTCTCATTGATGTCTCTAATGCTCTATCCCTCTCCCTTCTCTGGAGGGAAAAAAAAAATCAATAAAATATATTTAAAATAGCATTCCCTACGTTTGGAAAAATCTAAGTTTTTGAGGCCAGTGACACTTGCTTCCTCTGGAAGACTCCATAGTCATCTTTCATTAAAATAAATAAATAAAAAAGAGCATCGTCCATGAACTTGACTCACAATCCCACAGGGAAGGTCAGCTAGCATTAGGCGTCTGCCGTGTTCCTGAGACTCTGCAGACGAAGGCCATGCTTTCCAATAAAGGCCATCGCTGTTTATTCCCTCCACACACTGAGCAGACCTTGAACCTGAGGCAGGGAGCTCCAGGCTTCCCCGTCTGCCTGCTCTCCGGCCCCATCCAGATGACAGGCATGTATTCCCTCCCTTAGCTGTAAAGCTGTGAAGGAGCAATGTGAACAGGGCAGTGGGATAAAAGCAAGGACTGCCCCGCCCAGGGCTGCACACAGGTCACACTCACCAGTAGAACCTGTGATGAGGTTCCTCGGGGCATCCTCTCACAGGCCCCGACCTGCTCCGCGCCCCTCATTGCTGAGTTTGGGGGGGGGGAGGGTGTCATTGTGCCCTGAAATGGGAGTTCGTGTTATTTTTTTTTTAATATATTTTATTGATTTTGTACAGAGAGGAAGGGAGAAAGATAGAGAGTTAGAAACATCGATGAGAGAGTCATCGATCAGCTGCCTCTTGCACACCCCATACTGGGGATATGCCCGCAACCAAGGTACATGCTGCTGACTGGAATCGAACCCGGGACCCCTCAGTCCCCAAGCGGACGCTCTATCCATTGAGCCAAACCGGTCTCGGCGAGTTCGTGTTATTGTTAATCCAGCCAAAGCAGCTCACGTCATCTGATTACTCGGTTCTCAGCGTGCTGGTTTCCAGATGCTTCCTTCCCCTGTTATCCCGAAGCGCACCTGACTTTGTGCTTTGGCCGTCTCAAGATCACACGGTCAGAAAAAAGCCAGATGCCGCAACCAAGGTCCATGCATGCATGCCCTTGACCGGAATCGAACCCGGGACCTTTCCATCTGCAGGCTGACGTTCTGTCCACTGAGCCAAACCGGTTTCGGCCGGGTTCCAACCGATTTGAAGAAGAAAGCCACGGAGGTGGACAGAGGGGGACGGTCACGTACATTTGACACATCTGTTCCCTCCGGATCGGCGCCCTTCCCCACCTCCCATCTGCTGGGGAGCCTCTCTCCCTCGGCTTTGCCTAAGCCGCTCTCCAAACAGCCTTGAACTTGATGAATGACGTGGTCATCTGTTCCCCGTGGCTAAGTGTCTGCGCTATGTGCGCTTGGCACCAAACAGTTCGTTAATCCAAAAAACGTTCCAGCCGGATCCGAGAGACACACAGGCTCCCTGTGCGTTCGGATGCTCGCCTTCTCGGTACATCAGTGGCTCCAAGCTGGTTCTTCTCCCGAGAACATTCTGGAACGGGGCCGTCTGTTCCCCGTGGACGGGAACCTGGTGCGTCCTGACACCAGGGGCCCAAACGCTGCTTTGGAACGAGAGGCGGCCGAGTGTTTTCCCAAGGTGTGGCCCCAGGTACGCAGGGCATTGAACCTCAGGCTGACACGAAAGCACAGAATGTCCCTCTTCCAAGGACGTTCCCCACTTGTTCAGCGACATGTCCACGTGGGCGGAGGTGGGCAAGGCCAGGTACCTAACCAGTTTACCAGTTCACCAGCTCCCTAGAGATATGGTGTCCCCGAAGCCAGAAGCTCACCCTCCCCCCCCCCTCCCCAGGCAGCCAGGCCACGATCCCGCAGGTTGAGAAGCTGAGGGGAGAGCCCAGCCAGCGTAGATCAATGGTTAGCGTTGACCTAGGCACCAGGAGGTCACGGTTCGATTCCTGGTCAGGACACATGCCCGGATTGCAGGCTCCATCCCAAATAGGGGGCGTGCAGGAGGCAGCCGATGGATGATTCTCTCTCATCGTGGATGCTTCTACCTCTCTCTCTTCCTCTCCATGCCTCTCTGAAATCAGTAAAAATATATCTTGAGAGAGAGAGGGGGGGGGGGTGCCCCAGGAGCTTACTAAGAAACTCCCAGGTCAAGAAGGAAAGGCGTGAAAAGGTGGAGTGGGGGGAAGCTTAAACCCCAAATATCAGGGAAACACAAGCCTAGAAACTATCACAGGTCACTCAGCGGGGGTCCCCGCAGCTGGGCTGAGGCTGGGGGAGTCTTTACGTCTGTTCGGAGCAAGAGGATAAGCACACGGGGGGAGTAGGGTTCCTGGAGGAGAAGCATTTTGCCCCAGATACTCCGGTGCCTGGGGAGGAGTTGGTGAGCTCATCGGAGGTGGTGTGACAGCCGAGCCACCCACAAGTCAGCAAGCAGGGTGGCTTCTGGCAGGCCACGTGCCTTCTGCAGGGGGCAGGGGGGAGGGTTCGAGACAAGGGTGCGTGCTGTGAGAAGGGACGTGAGCATCTCCCCATGGGAGCGGAAGTCCCAGAGGGGACGCAGCTGGTAGACCCTTGGCATTCCCCGCGTGAGCTGTTTTACACGTCATCCCGTCTGTACTTACATCTGTGTGTCCCCTTGGGCTGGAGAACCCGGTTCTTCCCTTGGATCCATTTGTGCTCCTGCCAGGATAGAAGGAGACACCGGACCGTCCCGCAGGCAGCAGGTGGCTAACCGTCTCCCGTGAAATGGGAGGCAGCTGGATAGCTTGGTTGGTTGGTTGGTTGACTGACTGGTTTTCTATGTGCTTTTACCGACCCTGGGACTACCTGGAGGGAAGGGGCCAGTGGTCATTCAAGATGGTGGTGGTGGTGGTGCCGAAACCGGTGTGGCTCAGTGGATGGAGCATCGGCCTGCAGACTGGAGGGTCCCAGGTTCAATTCCGGTCAAGGGCATGTACCTTGGTTGCGGGCACATCTCCAGTAGGGAGTGTGCAAGAGGCAGCTGATCGATGACTCTCTCTTATTGATGTTTCTGACTCTCTATCCCTCTCTCTTCCTCTCTGTAAAAACTCAATAAAATATAGTATTTAAAAAAAAAAAAAGATGGCAGTGGTACCTAGTGGCCAAAATGAGCAACCCTCCTTCCCTGCCAAGGTCAGACACGCTGTGTGGACCCCCTACCCAACAACGGGCACCTGGCCATCTAGGAAAAGCCATTTGTAATAGTCACGTTGGTAGAATATACACTCAGTGGCCAGATGATGATGATGATCTCTGAACGCATCGTAATCTGGCCACCCCGTGTGTGTCCTATAGAATAAAAGGCTAATAGGCAAATTGTCCCCTTGACCAGGAGTTCGACCAGCAGGCAGGCTGGCCAACCGCCCATGTCTCCTCCCCCTGGCCAGGCTGGCTGGACACCACCCATGCACGAATTCATGCACCGTGCCTCTATTTACCTATGAGGCCGTGGTGTTTTGTGGAAGAGCCACACTCAAGGGGCCAACGAGCTGCACATGGTTCGGGAGCCGCGGTTTGCTGAACACTGGTCTGCACCGTGCAAAGGCCAAATCTCCACTTTGATGACGTCCAGATTCAGCCTCACACATTTTTTTTCTCATAAAAATAAAAAAGCTCTTGACATCACCTTTCCCAAATTATTTGCTTCTGCCCTAAGACTTGTTTCTGCCGCCCAGATGCACACCGATCAAACCCCTCGCAGGAATGCTGCCAGTGGCCCCATGGCCCCAGGCCCCTCCCAAACTGTATGACCAGCCAGCCCCTTACAGATGAACAAACTGGGGTGCAGAGACCAGAAGTCTTGCTTTCAAAGGTTCAGTCTTGGGCCAGAGCAGGGCTGAAAGCGTTGTTTTTTTGTTTGTTTGTTTGTTTGTTTGTTTGTTGTTTTTCAGAGAGGAAGGGAGAGGGAGTGAGAGAGAAACATCAATGAGGAGAGAGAATCATTGACTGGCTGCTCCTGCGCGCCCCACACTGAGGATCGAGCCTGCGACCCGGGCACTTGCCCTGACTGACTGGGAATCAAACCGTGACCTCCTGGTTCATAGGCCGGCGCTCGACCACTGAGCCACACCATCCAGTGCTTGCAGGTCTCTGCTGTGTTCCCAGCCTGGAGGTGCTGCAGAGCTGCTGCTGCTGCTGGTGGTGGTGGTGGTGGTGGTGCATTTGCTGGTGGGAATACCAAAAAGGGTCCCTTCTCTTGCATTATAGGGAAGCTCAGGCCCTATGAGATGCTTCTGTGCAGGCTGGCTCTGTGCCCGCCTCAGCTGGGCCAACCCTGAGAGGAATGCCGTGTGGCATCTGGATTTCAGTGGGCAGACCTGTAGCGGTGTGCAAACCAGGGCTTCTGATGAAACTCGGTGTTGGGGGATGGGGAGGGGGCAATAATTAGGCAGAACCTGCTAGACGGAGGCCTAACTGTTGGAGGGAAAGATGGTGGTGGCCAGCTGTAAAGACAGGGGAGCAGAGGCCCTTGTGGCTTTGATTCCCGAGGGAATAGCCGCCGGCTGAGGCCTTCCCTGTTCTGGAGCCAGATTCGGGGTTGTGCCTTGCCGTCTCGGGGCTTTCTTCCCTCCTGCCCAGGCCCAGAGCTTGCTCCTCCTCGAGCCAGACTCCCCTCCTGGCAGGCAGAGCGCCCTGCAGCCTGTGTGGCCTCCTCCGGCGGCGAGAGAGAGAGAGAGAGAGAGAGAGAGAGAGAGAGAGAGAGAGAGAGAGAGAGAGAGAGCGAGGACTGTGATAGTGCTTAAGAGCAACATCGAAATTGGGCAAAAACTCGGCAGTCTCTTCCAAAGAGCCAGATGAGTAGGCTTGCAAGTGAGAAGGGGATGAGGAGGGGTGGGGGGGGGTGAGAGGAATGGGTTTGACTGAAAACACTTGCTCTGGCGTCCTTGTGCTCTGTCCAAAGGATGCTCAGGGGGCGCTGCCAGGCTCTTAAATAGCCCGGGAGCCGGGGCAGGAGCGCGGTGGGGCTCCGGGCACCCTGGAGAGGAGGCACCTTCTCTCCTAGGAAAACAGGCGACCGCGTGGAGGGTGAAGGGAGGCATCATCGCCCCGAGGATGCCCTCCCCAGAACCGCCGCCTCAGTGGCAGGGCCCCCAGCAGCTCGGGGACCGCTGTCTCCATGCCCCCAGCTCTGGAGCGCGGCTGGGGCAAGTGCCAGGCCCGGTGGGTGGGTGGGTGGGTGGCCCGGGCCACGGTGGGCCGGGCGGGCCTCCAGGTGCACCCCTGGCTGAGGTCCCAAGGGCCACCCCGCCTGACCCCGGACCAATTTGGGGAGCGGATCTGCAGCAGGAGAGGCAGGAGCGGCTTTGGGGCGCTGTCTAGCTGGAGAGGGGACCCGGGTTTGTCTCCAGACACGGTTGGAGGGTGAAGGGGGAGGATCTGGGGCCTCGCATTCTGCAGGGCCAGCTGGCCCGGGGATTGCGTGCTTTCTGCGTGGGGAGCCCCGTGTCCCAGGGTCCCCGAGGTCCCAGCAGCCAGCAGTCCGGTGCCTCCTCGGTCCTCCCCGCCCAGCTCTCCCCCCTCCACCCGTCTGGGGCGGCGCTGAAACCCGAGCCCGAGGGGGCGGGCGGCGGGGCCGGGCCGGCATTGGCGGGGGGACCCGGTGATGGATGATGGTGAGGGCGGGGCGCGCAGAGAGGAGGGGGCGCCGGCCGCCCGCGGGAACGCGTGGGGGACCGAGTGGGGGACCGGGCCGCCCCGGCTCGCTGCTCCGGCCGGCGGAGCGAGGCTGCTGGTTGCCGCCTTCTCTGCGAAGCGCGATTCATTTTCTGCTTTTTCTTTTTTCTCTTCTTCTTCTTCTGAAAACTCCTCTTTCCAGGGAGAGGCTAGTGGTCACAGGCCGAGCTGGATGGATGGGTATGGGGAGAGGGGCAGCACCGGCATCATCAGCCCTGGGATTCTGGCCGACCCTCGCCTTCCTCCTCTGCAGCTTCCCCACAGGTAAGTCATCTGGTGTCTCGGGACGGGACGGTGGCGCCCTGTGTGGGGGGATCTGGCCTCCCCCTCTCCCCTCGGAAGGCGCAGGGATGCCCGGGAGCTCCGGGGGGGGACCCTCCTCCTCCTCGGGCTGCATGGGACCAAAAGGTCTCTGGTCTTGGGCCAAAGGTGCATCCTAAGTTCCCAAAAAAGGGGGAGCAGGGACGCGCCCCTTAGAGGGGCCCTGGAGAAAGGGGTACAGGGGATGCACAGCCTCGGAGCAGGGGGTGGGGGACGCTTTACCCAGCTCCTCGCCCCCTTCCCTTTTTGCAAACCTGACCGGTGGGCGTCCAGGGGTGGCCCCCCGAGGCACCCCGGAGGTCCTGGCCAGTCCCCCCGCCGCCGCCCTCTCCTGGGGGACCCCGCGCCCGGAGCCCTCGGCCGGCCGGGGGCACCCCGCAGCCCCGCGTCGCCCCCCGTTTGTTTTGACGGGTGTCCGAGAGGGGAGAGGGAATTAAAAAGCCGAAAAAAAGCCCATCTGTTTCCAATGAATCCCCCATAGTTTTTCACAATGTTTTTGGCAGATCGCTGCTTGCAAATTCCTCCGAGCCAGGGCCTCTTGTTTTCCTTGGGGGAAGGGAGGCCAACTCCACAAGGAGCATTTGTTCGCTCCCAAACGCTCCGGTTTCTTGGCTTTTTTTTTTTTTTTTTCTCTCTTCCCTCCTCCTCCTCCTCCTCCTCCTCCTCCTCCTCCTCCTCCTCCTCCTTTCTTTTTCTTCCTCCTCCTTCTTCTTCTTCTTCTTCTTCTTCTTCTTCTTCTTCTTCTTCTTCTTCTTCTTCTTCTTCTTCTTCTTCTTCTTCTTCTTCCCTCCTTTCTGGGGGGAGGGGAAAGGCCCGAATCCTAAACCCCTGCTCCGCGTTCTGTATAACATTGCGTAAAACTTTTATTTCATTTCGGCCATATGCTGCTCGCAGCTGGGACACGCCGGTGGAAAACCCTTTATACCGTGTGGTTGGTGGTTGTTTTTTTTTTTTTTTTTTTTCTTTCTTGCTAAAAACATGCACGTGAGCCCCAGCGTGAGGGCCGGGGGGTCCCCGGGACCGAGGCGGGACACCCCCCCCCCCCGGCTGGTGCCATTGGGTGGCCAGGCTCTGGAGGTGTCTTCTTTGGCGGAAAATGCGAGCGTTTTTGAGCGTGTTTCGCTCCCCACGCAGCCCAACGCTCTGCAAGAAGGGACTTGAGCGAGAGACCGGGAGGGAGTGCAGTTGTTTCGTTTTGCTCCCCAGCCAACTGGGTTTCAGAAACTGGCAGAACTGGGCCGTCCGGGGCTGCACGCTGCCGCTCCAGGGGTGGGGTGGGGGGACCATACATGCAGGCAGGCAGGCAGGCGGTTGGCACAGGCGGTGGTGGCTGGCGGAAAGGGCCTGGGATTAGTTTACCTCCCCACCCCGGCCCTCCCTGTTTTGGGGGGTCCCCTGCGGCCTCGGGGTGCAGCCGCATCCCCGTGGGTGCCCCCCGAGAGCCCTCACCTGCTCCCAGCCCCGGATTCCACCGGGAAGGCCCAGGCCGAGGCTGAGGGGACTCGGGGTATCAGTGCCCCAAAGAGCTTCGGACCTCCTCCTGCACCCCAGCCCGCCCTGGGGATGCTGACTCCCCCTCAGCGGGTCAGACAGCAGGGGGGTCAGTCCTATACAACCCCCTCACCACCCCAGGTTTTTTTTTGTTTTTTTTTTTTAAAGATCATTTCTCCATCTACAGTGCGGTCTGGCTGAAAGGCTGTCTTGGTTCCTTCCCAAGAACTTTAAAAAAAAATGTAAATTTAAAACGACCCTCTCCTTGAAAGCAAGGTTCCCCTGCTTTTGGGGGGGCTGGTGGAGTCTGCAGCAGCCTGTGCAACTCAGTTTGGACCAGATAAGGATCCAGCCCATCGGGGTGTCCTAGCAGATGGGTTGATAAATGGCTTTTGTCCCCGCCCGCCCGCCCCACCCGGCCAGCCCTGCCAGCCACCGTGGGGGGATGTGATCTCCGCTCTCCCTCGGAGCTGAAATTGAGAAGGGGAGTCTTAAAGGCCCTTAAAACAACACCTTCCTTGCTCTTAAAGCGGCAGCAGCGCCCGTTACCTTCTGGGGCCGGAGAGGGAGGGAGGAAGGGGAACTCCGAGGGATGCTTTTGTTGGGAGGTTTGTTGTGGGTTTTTTTTTCTTTCATTTCTCCTTCTTTCCCAGTTTGAAGCGTCCCCGGGTAGTCTGGGGGAGAGCCGGCCGGTGGGGGAGTTATGTAAACTCGCCAACCCCCCGAATTCCATCACTCTCCTTTCCAAGGAGCCCCATTTCTCGAGACCCGTCTGTAACCCAAACCCCGCCGATGGAGCAGATACCCCCGCGGCCACTGTCAAGCCGACCAACCGGCTAAGGTTGCCTCTAAGGCGAGGCCCGGGCAGCTGCCTTTAGGCGAGATTGCCCACCTCACTGAAACCCGAGCTTCCAGGAGTTCCAGACTCAATAGGCTGGGGGTAGGGGCGGGGGTGGGGGGGATGGGGGTCTGCAGAAACCTGGGTCAGAGACCGTTTCTTCAGGAAGAGGCGGAATGAGCTATGTCCCCAGTGCAGACGGGCCGTCCGGGCCCTGATGCATTAGCAGGGGGGGAGGGGGGGCTGCAGGTCCGAGGGAGGGCAGGATGGAGGTCCCAGGGGCAGAGGGAGCTCTGGCCGAGGGTGGGGGGGGTGCAGGGACACGCAGGGACCCCTGGTGTCAGGCCACGGCCGCTCCCACTGCAGACAGGTGGGCCGGACCGGAAGCCCGGGTCAGTTGGATGCCCGTCGGCTGGCATGGCCGCCAGGAGGGCGCCCCAGGAGCCCACATGCAGTGGGATGGGGTCATGTGGAGAAATATGCCGTGGCTGGGACACTGAGAGGGCTGTGTCCCTGAACACTGTTTGCATGTCCTCGTTCCGCGTCGATGGCACAGCCACTGGGCCCCTGGCTTGAGTGACAGTAGGGGGGGGGGGCCTTCTCCGAGCAAGGCTGGCATCTGCCACACCCACTGGGCCCCTGGCTTGAGTGGCATTGGGGGGGGCGGGCCTTCTCTGAGCAAGGCTGGCATCTGCCACACCCATTGGGCCCCTGGCTTGAGTGGCATTGGGGGGGGCGGGCCTTCTCTGAGCAAGGCTGGCATCTGCCACACCCATTGGGCCCCTGGCTTGAGTGGCATTGGGGGGGCGGGCCTTCTCTGAGCAAGGCTGGCATCTGCCACACCCACTGGGCCCCTGGCTTGAGTGGCAGTGGGGGGGGCGGGCCTTCTCCAAGCAAGGCTGGCATCTGCCACACCCATTGGGCCCCTGGCTTGAGTGGCATTGGGGGGGGCGGGCCTTCTCTGAGCAAGGCTGGCATCTGCCACACCCACTGGGCCCCTGGCTTGAGTGGCATTGGGGGGGGGCGGGCCTTCTCTGAGCAAGGCTGGCATCTGCCACACCCATTGGGCCCCTGGCTTGAGTGGCATTGGGGGGGGCGGGCCTTCTCTGAGCAAGGCTGGCATCTGCCACACCCACTGGGCCCCTGGCTTGAGTGGCATTGGGGGGGGGCGGGCCTTCTCTGAGCAAGGCTGGCATCTGCCACACCCATTGGGCCCCTGGCTTGAGTGGCATTGGGGGGGGCGGGCCTTCTCTGAGCAAGGCTGGCATCTGCCACACCCATTGGGCCCCTGGCTTGAGTGGCATTGGGGGGGCGGGCCTTCTCTGAGCAAGGCCCTCAGGTAAAGGGAAAGGGGCTCCGTTGTGTCCCGTGGGCTGTGAGGGTGACTGCTTGGCGGACGCTGTGCCTTTAAAGGATGGCAGGGGAGCTGGGTCTAGCGGGGTTTTGGGGGGACCAGGGCAGAAAAGACGGCTCAGAACCAACAGCATCCTCTTCAGGACACAATGAATGGATGCGGTTGAAACGCTGAAACCGTCGGGGCTTCTTAAACCAGATCCCTTAGAGAAACCCATCCGAGGCGCATGCTGTCCCGAAACGTTGGCGCGTTTCCTACGGCAACGTATGGCGGTTCTCAAAGTGCGGTCCCCCCGGGCCACCCCGTCTGTTTGCCCCCATCCCCGGGGGAAAGTCTTAGACATCCAAGCCCAGGGCCCGGGCACTCTGGGAGGGACCCCGTGGTCTCTGCTTGAACCAGGCCGTTCTGATGCCCAGGGAGATGGCTGCTCTGAGAATTCTCCCCTTTCCTCTCAGTCCGCAGCTGTTGTCAAAATGTTAGTCCTCGCCCCGCAGCTGGTGCGGCCCGGTGGCTAGCGTCCATCCACAAACCAGGAAGGTCGCGGTTCCATTCCGGGTCAGGGCGCACGCCCGGGTTACAGGCTCCATCCTCAATGGTGGCGGGGGAGGAGGCGTGCAGGAGGCAGCCGATCTGTGATTCTCTGTCATTGCTGTTTCTCTCTCCCTCTCCCTTCCTCTCTGGAATATATATATATATATATATATATGGAAGCTAAGGCTTGGAGACCATGCCCTCTGCAGCATACGGTCAGAGAGATGAGAATCTCTCCCCCTGCTACAGGGCGGCCCAGGATCGCAGGCTCACTCCGTGTGTGTGTGTGTGTGTGTGTGTGTGTGTGTGTGTGGATGTGGCTGTGCTCGAACCCTGGGCCCGTGCCCAGCTGGCCTGCGCCGGCCGGCCCTCCCTCTGCAGGAGGAAGGTGGCGGAGGGTAGTGAGGGAGAAAAGCCACTTCAAACGAACGCTGACCTGGAGTGGCCAAGCAGATGAGCCCGGGCTGCTGCAGGCAGAGCCAGAGTGGAAAATTAGCAGCTCTGGGGCTGGCCCTGGGCTCCGGGGGGAAAGGGTTATGCCTGCCTCCAAGCAGAGAAACCAAATTGCCCACCTGCAAGCTTCCATCAGGTCTGAAAAGGGACGTCTTTTTTCTGCCCATAGCCACCCTCCTGCAGAACCCGGGGAGCTCGGCTTAGTTTGCCGCCCTGAGCCCGGGTGGCTGGGACGGAAGCCTGTGCCCTGGCCCTGGCCCTGGCTTCCTGGGGTCCCCCTGCCCAAAGGAGCCCTCAGCCGTAGCCGTGGCCGTGGCTCTGGCCCCCGGGGGCGGGTGTCTGTAAGCCGAGGTGTGTGTGTGTGGGGGGAGGGGAGTTAACCCCCAGCGCCCCTTTGCCCCCTCTCTTCCCCCCAACTCACCGAGAACATTCCTCCGGCCTCGCTCTTTGGCTCTTTGTCCGTGAGGCCAGTGCCAGCAGGTCCCCCGGGCCTTTCGGGGGGGTGGGGGGAGCCTCAGGCTGGTCATTCCCGGGGACCATCGCCGGCTGGACCAGGGAGAACCGGCTTCCGCGAGGCGACCAGGCCTGTTTGCCGGCAGGTTCGGTGAGGCAGCGTCTGCCGTCTAAAAGGCCAAGACACCTGGGCGTGATCCTCTCGGTGTCTGATGCCAAACACCTGCATGTTACGTGAGGGCGACGGAGTGGGATTCTTACGGGGAGGCGGGGAGACGGGGGGGTTGGAGAGAGACGCAGGAGACACAGGCAAGCAGCCCCGGCCATCTGTGCAGCCAGGAGCCCCCGGCACACCCCGCCCCCCCCAGGGCAGAGCTGACCAAATATTGTAGCTCCCGGGAGGGGTATTGGCTCCCAGATTCAGAGCTGAGGGACAGGAGAGGGTGCAGAATGGCTGTCGCTCCTGCTGGGTGTCACGCTGCTGTGGGAGGTGGGGTGGCCCTCCCGGCCGGTGCCCAGCCCCGCGGCCACCCTCAGGCCCCGCACCGGCCTGTTGCCCCAGGGGGTGGGCGCAGGGAGGACGGGGCGTGGCGTAGGGGGCCATGGCACAGGACTGAGCTCTCTCTCCTCCCGGCCCCGCCTGCTGCCACCCCAGTTGGAGCCAATGGCCTCCTGAGTGACGACACTGTGTCCCAAAATAGTGTTGTGAGTGTGCCCTGTCCTTACTGGCAATTATGGGGAGAGGGGGGGACGGGGAGGGTTGGGGGGGTGCGATCAACTGGATCTCCTGGGAAGGCCTCGGGGACCAGTCAGGAGATTAAAAAGCACACGGCTCTGTCCACAGAGGGATCTTGGCCTAGCCTAGCAGTGTTTCCCAAACTTTTTTATTTTTATTTTTTTAAATATATTTTATTGATTTTTCACAGAGAGGAAGAGAGAGGGATAGAGAGTCAGAAACATCGGTGAGAGAGAATCATCCATCAGCTGCCTCCTGCACACTCCCTACTTGGGGATGTGCCCGCAACGAAGGTCCATGCCCTTGACAGAAATCGAACCCGGGACCTTTCAGTCCCGCAGGCCGACGCTCTATCCACTGAGCCACACCGGTCTCGGCTGTTTCCCAAACGTCTGACTTAGGCGTCCCCCTTCTATCATTGTCGCAACGCCGAGGACCCCTCGTCCTCATGAGAACGTAGAATGAGGCGCCGCTAAGCACGGCGCAGTGCCTGTCCCCACCAAACTCCGGTGCAACACGTACCCCCACCAGACTCTTCCCCCCCGCAACCCTGGGGTTCCCCGGACCACACTTTGGGAAACAGTGACCTAGGGGATGGCAGAGGGGTCACTGAGGCACACAGCTGCAGGCAGCGGTTCCCACCCCTGGGGAAGAGGCTTGGGGGCCCCAGGCTGTGAGGAGGGCCCTGTGCCTGGCTTGGCTTGGTGCTTCTGAGTGTCACCAGTGATGCTTGGGGGACGGGGGGAGGTGATGGGGGAGGGGAGACAAGATTCCACTGTCCAGTGGTGGTGGTGGTCATAGAATCAGCCTGGGGCCCATCCAGCGTGGCTCGGCGGTGGAGCGTCGCCCTAGGAACCAGGAGGTCACAGTTCAATTCCCGGTCAGGGCCCAGGCCCAGGTTGCAGCCCCATCCCCAGTGTGGGGCGTGCAGGAGGCAGCCCATCCATGATGCTCTCTCGTCATTGATGTTTCTCTCTTCCCTTCCCTTCTCTCTCTCCCTCTCTCTCTCTTCCTCTCTGAAATCAAATCAAAATATATTGAAAAGAAAAAAAGAGAAACAGCTGAAACCGGTCGGGGTGGCTCAGTGGATAGAGCGTCAGCCTGCGGAATGAAAGGTCCCCAGTTCGATTCCAGTCAAGGGCTTGGACCTTGGTTGCGGGCACATCCCCGGTAGGGGGTGTGCAGGGGGCAGCTGATCCATGATTCTCTCTCATTGATGTTTCTAACCTTCTATCCCTCTATTTCTCTCTGTAAAAAATTTAATAAAATATATTTTAAAAAAGAAAAAAGAGGAGAGACAGCCTGGAGACAGAAGGTACACCGGTGTGCGCCTCCAGCCTTCCCTCTTCCGTCTAGTGCCCCCTAGTGGTGGAGTCCAGCAGGGAACCCGGTGACCAGAGAAAAGGGCTCTGCAGAATCCCAGCCCCTCTGCGCGAGGTTGGCTTTGTCAGGGGCACAGCTGGCACTCAAGGCCCCAAACTCCTGGCCCCAATCTCCTGGCTGCACGCTCACCCACCGGCAATTGGCGTGTCTGGCCCCATGAAACCCCGCTTCCCCCATGCCCTCTCCAGCCTCCGTTCTTCCATCCTTGTTGCATTTGTTGCATCTCAGCACTCAGATGAGACGTGTGTGTGTGCTCCGCATTCTGGAAGCTTCCGTGGCTCGCTCCAGAACCTTCTGCAAGGCGTGCATGTTCCCATGCACACCCCGGAGCTGGAGGCCGCCCGCTTTACCCCTTTAAGAAGAGGCAGGTTTTCCCCGTTCCCTGGGCCCACCCCACCCCTCCCGCTTGGCGGCATCTGAAACCTGAGCTAATCCCTTTTTCAGGCGGGTAATTTATTGGCCTGTTGGGCTTTTCTTGGTGGCAAATTGCATTGTCTCTATTCCCGGGTTCAGGGCCTCTGAACGGCTCACCGCATTCCTGGGGCTCCTCTCTCAGGTCCCGTCCCTCCCGCCCCCCCTCTGCGCTCAGCAGAATACGTTTTATTGGGCTCCTTTGTCATGCAAACGAGATGGTCATAATCATGCTATTCTTCTCCGAGATTGAGCTTGATGAACAGCTCAGAGGAGGAGGGCTCTGAGAGCAGCTAATGCCGCTCAGAGGAGTAAATATTTCCATCTCCCGGTGCAGCCGCCGGTGCTCCCAGCTCCCTGCCTCCCTCCTTCTGAGCGAGAGGCGCTGGGTTTGCTATTAAAAGGCCCAGAACGAAGCCGTCTGGAGCCCACCTCCCCCGGCAAAGACACGTTACATACGTGGCATGCCGTGGAGCGTGAGGCGTGCGGGGGGGGGGGGGGTTGTGGGGGGAGGGCCGAGGGTTCCAGGGCAAAAATGAGGGCGCTGCCAAAACCGGCATGGCTCAGTGGATAGAGCGTCGGCCTGTGGACTGAAAGGTCCCGGGTTCGATTCCGGTCAAGGGCATGCATGCACCTTGGTTGTGGCACATCCTCCGTCGCTCATCATATTTTATAGATTTTCCACAGAAGAGGAAGGGAGAGGGATAGAGAGCCAGAAACATCGATGAGAGAGAACCATCGACCAGCTGCCTCCTGCACACCCACCACCGGGGACGTGCCCGCCACCAAGGCACATGCCCTTGACCGGAATCGAACCTGGGACCCTTCCGTCCGCAGGCCGACGCTCTACCCACTGAGCCACACCGGTTTGGGCCATCTCTGTGACTTTCAAACAAATCTGCGTCTTGGCTCTGAATTCTTTCTTCTTCCCCCCCCCCCCACTCCCACCCCTCTTTCTTTCACATTTTTTTTAAAAAAATATTTTACTGATTTTTTTTTTTTTACAGAGAGGAAGGGAAAGGGATAGAGAGTGAGAAACATCGGTGAGAGAGAACCATCCACCAGCTGCCTCCTGGCACGGCCCCCACCTGGGAATGTGCCCGCAACCAAGGTCCGTGCCCTTGACCGGAATCGAACCTGGGACCCTTCCGTCCGCAGGCCGGCACTCTACCTACCCACTGAGCCACACTGGCTTTGGGGAGGATGGTGGTGTTTTGTGTTGTTTTTTTTTTTTTTTCACCATCTGGGTGGGGCGCGTGTTTGCAGAGCGGGTGGCGAGGCTGGATGGATGCCCACCCTGACGGCGTGTCCCTTGCTCTTTCCCCCTCACCCCACCCCACCCCACCCCTCCCCACCCCCGCAGCCGCCTCCCCCTGCAAGATCCTCAAGTGCAACTCTGACTTCTGGAGCGCCACGGCGGGCGGCCCCTCGCCGGCCTCGGACGACCCGGCGCCCGAGTTCTGCGCGGCCCTGCGCACCTACGCGCTCTGCACGCGGCGCACGGCCCGCACCTGCCGCGGCGACCTGGCCTACCACTCGGCGGTCCATGGCATCGAGGACCTCATGGGCCAGCACAACTGCTCCCGGGAGGGCCCCACGGCGCCGCCGCGCCCCCGCACGCCGCCCGCGCCGCCGCCCGCGCCCGCCGGGCCCGGCGACAGCCAGGAGCGCGCCGACAGCCCCGAGGTGTGCCACTACGAGCAGCGCAGCGCCCCCCGGCGCGCCAACTACACGCACTGCGGCCTGTTCGGCGACCCGCACCTGCGCACCTTCACCGACCGCTTCCAGACCTGCAAGGTGCAGGGCGCCTGGCCGCTCATCGACAACAACTACCTGAACGTGCAGGTCACCAACACGCCCGTGCTGCCCGGCTCGGCCGCCACCGCCACCAGCAAGGTGAGGGGGGGCCGGGGCCGGGGATGGGGATGGGATGGGATGGGGCTGGGATGGGGATGGGATGGGGATGGGGCTACAGCTGAGATTGAGGCTGAGGATGGGGCTGAGATTGAAGCTGGGGCTGGGGCTGGGACTGGGATAGGGTTGGGGTTGGGGTTGGGGATGGGGCTGGGGCTGGGACTGGGGCTGAAATTAAGGCCGAGGATGGGGCTGAGATTGAGGCCAAGGATGGGGCTGGGGCTGGGGCTGGGGCTGGGGCTGGGGCTGGGGCTGGGGATTGGGTTGGGGCTGGGGAAGGGGCTGGGGCTGGGGCTGGGGCTGGATCAGGGCTGGGGCTGGGGATGGGATGGGGATGGGGCTGCGACTGAGATTGAGGCTGAGGATGGGGCTGAGATTGAAGCTGGGACTGGGGATAGGGCTGGGGCTGTGGCTGTGGCTGGGGCTGAAATTAAGGCCGAGGATGGGGCTGGGGCTGGGGCTGAGGTTGGGGGTGGGCCTGTGGGGTCCCATCGCCCAGGCCCTGCTGTCAGGGAGGGACCCAGACTCAGCCCCCTGCCCCCCCCCAGACGCCTCCTGCACCCACCGTGTCCTCGTTACTTTTCGGAAATGAGCAGATCACGTACAAGGAACGTTCTAGAGAGTCTTAATGTTGCCTAGAGTGCGGGGTTTCTCAGAACGCTGGGTGTAACCCGGCGCGCCTAACGCACTGTACGTGGTGAGGGTGAATGCGGGAGGGGGCCTGGTTTCCGTAGCGCACGTGTGTACACACGTGTGTGTGTGTGCTCACGTGTGCACCCCCGTGGCCCAGGCAGTGGGACAGCCCGTCCGCCGCGGGTTCGCCCCCGTCCTCACCGCCGGGGACTCCGTCCAGCCCTGCGCCCGGCCCTGAGGTGGCAGCCGACGTGTGGCCGGCTCGGCCTCTGTCCTGTCCCCCTCCCAGCCCTCCCCGGACCAAGGGGGGACCGACCACGTCAGGACCCCCCTCCGCCTTCTCTGCAGCTCCTTTACCCCCTCCGATGCGGGGGGCTCTGAGCAGGGCCCCGGGGAAGGCCTGGCAGTCTGTGCCCCCCAGGCTGGGAGAGGGCGGCCGCAGAGCCAGGCTGAGGGGTTGGGGGGCAGCCCCGAGCCCCCCCAGGAGGAAGCGGAGCCAGGCTGAGGGGCACCGGGGGCTTCCCTGACCCTCCTGTCCCTACTCCCCTCCTGCCTGCCTCAGTCCAGGGGGTCCTTGCTCGTTGCCATGGCGATGGCATCATCCACTGGACCATCCTCTCTCTGTTCTTGTGAATAACCAGAATCTGGGCTGTTTCAGCCAACTTCCCCACCCCCCTCCCCAACCCACCCCCCATGGGCATCCCTCCACGCCTCCTCTCTTCCCATCGGTGCCAGCTGCACCCATTTTGCAGGCCGGCAAACTGAGGCTGGCGGAGCAGAGGATCTCGGGGTCCCTGCCTCCCACTCCCTCTCCCCGTCGCACTCACCATTCTGCCTCTGTCTGGTCTGTGAGCCGCCCCCCTCCACCCCACCCCACCCCCGATGTGGCCTCCATGAGGACGGGCCCCGCAGGGACACGGCCCCGGAGCCGGGCCTGGCGGGTGGCGGGCGCTGCGTGAACGGATGTGGGTGAGGCCGGGCTCTGCCCGTCCCCGGCCCGCGGGCTGCATGCCCCCCTGGCTCTCCGCGGGCCCCGGCGTGCTGTTGCTTGTGGTTGAGGCCTGGCACCGGTGCCAGGGAGAGGCAGGCGGCCTGTCAGCCTTCCAGGAGGCCGTCTCGGCGGACGGACGGACGGGCGGGCGGGCGGGCGGACGGCGGCTAGAGCAGAACCAGCCTTTCCTGTTCGGGGAGACGGCCCGGCCCCCCACCCAGTGTCTGTGTGGCCCTGCGCACACGAGACAGGGACCCCGGAGTCCCTCCCCCGAGCAGGACCCCTACCACCACCCGGGCCACCCAGACGGGCCCACCTCGGGGGGGGGGGCCCCCATCTGCCGTCCCCGCCCCGCCTCACCCCTCCCTCCCCCCCCTCCCTCCCTCCCTCCCCGCAGCTCACCATCATCTTCAAGAACTTCCCGGAGTGCGTGGACCAGAAGGTGTACCAGGCGGAGATGGACGAGCTGCCGGCCGCCTTCGCCGACGGCTCCCGCAACGGCGGCGACCAGCACGGCGCCAACAGCCTGCGCATCACCGAGAAGGTGTCGGGCCGGCACGTGGAGATCCAGGCGCGCTACATAGGCACCACCATCGTGGTGCGCCAGGTGGGCCGTTACCTCACCTTCGCCGTGCGCATGCCGGAGGAGGTGGTGCGCGCCGAGGAGGGGCACGGCGCCGGCGGCCAGGGCCTCTACCTCTGCCTGCGCGGCTGCCCCCGGAGCCAGCAGATCGACGTCCGGCCCCTCGGGGGGCCTCCGGGGGCCGAGGCCGGCTCCGCGCCTGCACCTGCGGCGGCCGCCGCCCCCCCGGACGCCTTCCCCTACGAGGCGGCCGCGGCCAAGTGCAAGGAGCGGCTGCCGGTGGAGGACCTGTACTACCAGGCCTGCGTGTTCGACCTGCTCACCACGGGCGACGCCAACTTCACGCTGGCCGCCTACTACGCGCTGGAGGACCTGAGGATGCTGCGCTCGGACAAGGGCAAGCTGCATCTGTACGGCAGGACGCCGGAGCCCCCCGGCCGGGCGGCCGCGGCGACGGGGCCCGGCCCGGCCCCCCGGCTGCTCCTGGGCGGCCTCCTGCTCCTCGGCCTGCTCTCCGTGCTCCCCGAGGCCCCGGCTGCCTAGGAGGAGGGAGAGCCAGGCTCCTGCAGTGGGGGCCGGGCTTCCCTCCCCTGGCCCCCCCCCCGCTCCCCAGATCGCCTGGCGGGTGAGCTTGGGGCGCTGACTCCGGCTGCTGCTGCTGCTGCTGGGGCTGTGGGGCTGGGGCTTAGGGGGACCCCCCCTCGCCCTCCCGACGGGCTGTGGTGACCCACTGGTGCTGTGCCGGCTGTGACAGGGCAGCTGAGTGGTGGGGGAACTGCCCCCTGCCCTGCCCGCCCCGCCACGGACGGGCACGGGGGATGTCACGCCAGCGCCCGCCCCGCGATGCACTGAACGCCCCGCGATTGCTGCACGCACACTCACACGAGCACACTCGCGCACACTGAGCCCGCCGGACCCACAGGCGGGGGGGGGGGGGGGGGGGGGCGCCTTTCCCCCGGGGCCTCGGGGCGCCCCGGTCCCCCGCCCGGGACGGTGCGTGTTGGCACGTGCTCAGAGCGACGCCACTCACGGGCTTGGATGCCCTTATCTGGTCCCTTCCCCCTCCCTGGTTCCCCTCCCCCCCCCTCACTGTGCTTAGGAAATCCAGTTGAGTTTTTTTAAACGTCCACACAGAGAACTAACTACCCTTTGACTAATGATCCTTCCCGCCCAGCAGGTGGCAGGAGCCCCGGCAGGGGGCTGGGGGCGCGGGGCCCCCAGGGGGGGGGACGGGGCCAGCTGGCCTGCCCTGACCCTCTGCCCGCTGCTCCCCTCTCCTCCGTCCACCCCGGTCTGCATCCTGCACCCGGGAGGGGAGCGGGCGGCCCTGGCAGGACCCCCCCCATCGGCGGGTCCCTTCCCACGAGCCTCTGGGCCAAACGGCCTGGGAGACCTCCCCCTGGGAGCCCAGACCGGTTCTCCCCTCTGCTGCTGCTCCAGGGACCCCCCCCCCGTGCGCCCCCTGCTGTCCCAGGACCTCTCATACACTGGCCCAGGAGGCTGCGGACCCGTCCCGCCTCCCCCTCCGAGGTCCCCTCTCTGCCAAACCCCCCGGCGGGCGGGCGGGCAGGGGGGCAGGAGCCCCCGCCGGCCCTCACACAGCCCCTGCGCTGGAAGGAAGAAGTGAAGCACTTTATTTTGGTTGTGTTTGCTCTCGCGTTCTGCTTGGAAGCGGGGACACCCATTCCCTGCCCCGCCCCCCTGCCCCGCCCCACCCCTCCTCGCCGGGTCCCCGCGTGTACATACTGTAAATTATTTATTAACGGCTCCCTGCAAGTAAAGTTTGGGTGTTTTTTTGTTTTGTTTTGTGACTTCCCTTTGGACTTGCGTGTCAAGGGGTTTGTTTTTCTGGATAACGGGTGCATTTGCGGGGTGCAGAGCTGACGTGGTGCCCTGACTGTGTTTGGGAGAGAGTTACTGTGTGCATAGCGTGTGCATAGCATGTGTGTGTGCGTGCGTGTGCGTGTGTATGCCTGTGTTGTAAATGTGTGCGGAGGACGTACCAGGGTCCCCCTTCTCCTCTAAAATTACTCTCGATCCTTACGACGAGCTATTTGGTGGGGAGAGAAGACCCTACGAGGTGGTGAGGGCGGCACTCCCCGCCCTCCCCCCCCCCCCCCCCCCCCCGTGTGAGGAGGGTCCAGGCCTGCTCGGAGGCCAGGTTCCCTGCTGGCTGCCACTCCGCGTCATCCCGTAGAAACTACTCGCTGCTCCAGACACACATCCGCGCCCATTTCGCAGATGAAGAAACAGAGGCTTGCTGCCAGTGGACCTGCCCGAGATCCCTTAGCTCGGTGTCCAGCTCCACTTCGTCCCTGCTCTCGGCACTCAGTGCCACGGGGCGGCCTTAGCCGCCCGGTGAAGCCGGGCTGCCGACCGGCACGTCAGGCCACCTCCCTTGCTGTGTGACCCGGGAGAGAGAGAGAGAGAGAGAGAGAAAGACAGAGAGAGAGAGAGAGAGAGAGAGAGACAGAGAGAGAGAGAGAGAGAGGAGAGAGAGGAGAGAGAGAGGAAGACAGAGAGAGAGGAAGAGAGAGAGGAGAGAGAGGAAGACAGAGAGAGAGAGGAGAGAGAGAGAGAGAAGAGAGAGGGAGATTAAAGACAAAGGAGAGGGGCCTTTATAAGAAAGCAGGAATGCTGGGTGAAAAGAATTAGGACGTGGGGGGTGGGGGGTGAGAGGCAGGAGTGGGGCTGGCGGGCGGGGTGCCAGGCGGGGAGGGCGGGGGTCTCGGGCGGCAGAGGACTTGGCGCTCCAGCTGGCTCTGCCCGCCCGCCGCGCGCTGTGTGGTCCGTCTGGGGTTTGGGAGGCTTCGAGGCCTCGTCTGTAAAATGGAATGGAGATCCGGTGAGCTCACGCCCTGAACCCGCCTGGCACCCGGGCGCTGGGGCGGCCCGGGGAGGCCCCCAGAAACGGCGGGTCCCCCCGCCCCGCCCCTTCTGAGCCCGTAGTCAGGCCACAACCCTCTCTGGTGCTGGGGGAGGGGCGCAGGCTACTTCCCATTCTCTTACGACGGCCCTAACCGGTGTGGCTCAGTGGATAGAGCGTCGGCCTGCGGACTGAAAGGTCCCGGGTTCGATTCCGGTCAAGGGCATGTATCTCGGTTGCGGGCACATCCCCAGTGGGGGGTGTGCAGGAGGCAGCTGATGGATGATTCTCTCTCATCGATGTTTCTAGCTCTCTATCCCTCTCTCTTCCTCTCTGTAAAAAAATCAATAAAATATATTAAAAAGAAAAGAAAATCCCCTTTAAAAAAAAAAAGTGAAGGCGAGGCTGGGCCTGCAGCACCGGAGAGGCCTGGGGCTGCCCCCCAAGTGGGAAGGGGCAGAAGCCTGTGCACCCCTGGCTGGAGGGGGGGGGAGGTCCTTCAGTCCTGGGGAGCACAGAGCCCCCCTGCCCGGGTGGCTGCGCCCCAGAGTGGGCTGGGACTGTGCCCTGGCCTCTGCCCCTCTCCGCGTCCCGGCCCTGCCCTCAGCCACTTGTGCAGAATCGAACACCCCGGCAGGCCATCTGCGGGAGCCTGCTGCCCTCTGCTGGCGGTGTTCTGGAACCACACTCACTCAGGGGATGGAGCTGATGCCCAGACCACCGCAGCCTGCCTTCCCTGCAACACCCAGGCCTGCCTCCTCCCAGGCCCGCCCCTCCCACAGTCCGCCCCGCAGCGACCAGCCCCCCGGCCCCCCATCCACCTCCCCGTCCGTCCCTCTTCCCTGGACCCTTTCTCACCTGGCCGTTGTCCTTGCGTCTTGGGTCTGTCTCCACCGTCCTCCGCGGGTGCAGGAGGCGGCTGGTGGGTGTTTCTCTCTCATTGATGTTTCTAACTATCCCTCCTCTCCCTTCCTCTCTATGAAAAAAAAAATCAATAAAATAAATTTTTTTTAAAACCACCTCATGAACCATAGAACCAGAGTCACATGGGACAGAGGGAGTAAGACATCAACCAAAGGACTCAGAGCAACGGACACAGAAAGGAGGGGGGGCAGCTGGGGAGAGGTCAGTGGGGGTGAGGGGGAGGTGAAGGAGACTTATGTAATCATTTAAACAATAAAGAATTCAATTTTTTTTTAAATTAAAAAACGTAAAAAACCTCATGGAACCTAGCAGCTGCCTCCCCCGTTTGCAAATGCTGACACGGCCATCGGCCCAGCCAGCCAGGCACGCACAGGGAAGGACCACAGGGGGCCCCTCACAGCCCCCCCGCCCCCCGCCCTGCGGCCCCCCAGGGCCCATGTGGTCAGCGAGAACCGTGCTTCCTTAACGGCCGTGCCCTCTTCGTTCGCGAAAGAAGCACGAGAGGAGGGAAGGAAGGAGGGCCTCTGTAATAGGTCCCCGACAATAAAGACGGGATTGATCTGTTAAATGGCTAAAAAGCAAACACACAGAGACCATGCGTGTGGCCCCCCCCACAGGCCACTGGCCCTGAGCGGCCGATCCTTCCTTCTGTCTTGGAGGCGAGAGGCGCAGGGCCACGCACGGGCTGGTCCACGTTCCCACACGAAGCCAAGGTCACACGGCCGCGGAGCAGGGGCCTGGGGACAGGGGGGGGGGGGGCCCAGGTCTCTGCAGGGAAGAGGGCTGGGCCGTAGGGCCCTGCTCCTTTAAGAGCTGCAGTCCTTCGGGCTGGGCTGGCACAGGGCAGGGCCTTGTGTGTCATTCGGTGACCTTTCTGTTGGCACGGAGGGCCGGCGTCCACGCCAGACGTGCGAGGCCCGGCCCGGAGTGGCGGGGGGAGGCAGGGAGGGGGCGTGCGGGGAGCCTGCTGCTTCCAGGAAAAGGCGGGGCCGTTGGCAGGAGTTCCCCGAGAGGCTGGGCAGCTTCGTTGCTGTTGCAAATCCTCCCAAGCCCAGGACGGCAGCACTTGTCCTTAGCGCCGTGGACTGCAACGCGCCTGGAGGTTATCCGCCTCCTCCCCGGTCTTTTATTTTTTTTTTCCCTCTTTTTTTCAATCCTCACCCGAGGATATTTTTTTTCCATGGAAGAGGGAGCGAGAGACGGAGAGAAACATCGATGGGAGAGAGACGCATGGACGGGTTGCCTCCTGCAGGCGCCCCAGGCCAGGACCCGGGCCGCCGGGGAGGAGCCTGCGGCCGCCACCGAGGTACGTACGTTCCCTCGACCGGAATCGAACCCGGATCCCTTTGGTCTGCAGGCCGGCGCTCTATCCACTGCGCCACACCGGCCAGGGCTTCTTGGGAAGTTGTTCGCTGAAGAACTTACGTGCAGTAAACCAACCCCCCGGCTCTCCTCCGAGCCCAGGCCCCGCGGCCAGGTCTCCTGGGGGTACTGAGGAGGAGTGCCACAGAGATGAGGAGTTTGGTGTCCAGGTCCCCCCCAAACCCCCCCGCACCCCGGTCTGGCAGGCTTCTAGCCCCCCCACTCGGCCGGGATCCCCGCCCGTCTGGCAGGCTTCTAGCCCCCCCACTCGGCCGGGATCCCCGCCCGTCTGGGCCCCGCCGGCCGGCCGGCGCTGGGTGCCAGATTGCTGGAGCTAACGTCGGTGTCAGTGTTTCCGTTATAAAACGCTCGCTCTCCCTTCGAGAACATA